AATTATACAGTAAATACTTTATTAACAAAATATCAGTCAATTGTGTCAAACTTGACTATTCCTTCTGTAAATGGCAATCAATTGCCTCAGACTTCATCGTTTTCACAACAATCATTCTTTGTTCTCATTCTCTTTACTTTGATCTTCTTAATCTTCTGCCTCCATGCATTTCACTTTAGACTGATGTTACATACTACTTATACCTGTCAAGATCAGTAGTACACATCACATAACAACGTGCAAAACTAAAATACATTTACATCGAAATTGGGCTGAAAAAAATCAACAAACAAATGAACTACATTAAATAATTATAGTTTCTAACATGATCCTAATTGGATTGGAAGTGAAACATCGTTTAACAAAATAATTCAAAGTGTTCCTCTATTATCTATATCTTTACATCAGATTTTTAATCCTTTCGTTTTGGAAAACAAATGAGATAATTCATTGTTTGCATTGTTTAAGTCTTCATTTAACTATTCATAAAAACAATCCCTTTTTTTAATATAAAGTTTATATGTCATCGAATGATCTGAATGATTATTCTGCTTTCGTTAATACAACTACATTATGATTTGATGTTTGTATTTCATTAGAATAATTGATAAATTAGTGGGAGAAATATCAGTGTTATCAGTATTATAGTCATTTTTAGTTATTTTTCCCGTTTTCCTGTATAGATGACAAACAATAGATGGAACACTATTTTGTGATTTACTCCTTTATTTATTCATTCAGACATACTTATATAAACACTACAGAATTGGGTAAATTAATGATAAGACAAAAGACTAGGTGAATTGAAGAAACAGTCACAAATAAACATATAAGGTAAAAGATAAACACTAATTATTCCTACATACTCGATTATAAAACTGTGGAGTGTAGCGAAATACGTGATTTTGTGATATATATATATATATATATATATATATATATATATATATATATATATATATATATATATATATATATAGTTTAGTTAATATTGATAGATTGAATGACATAAATCACTAACAGTTTGTTGTAAGGTAAAGTATCAGTAAGATTTAAGATGAAAGTGCTTCAAATGTGTTTGAGTGTAGAAATTTTTCATTCTATTTTTTTGTTTCTTTCTTTTGAAGGGGGAGGTTGAGTCGTTACTATTTAGATTATAAGTAACAACTTAATTTCTGTTGTTGGCAAGTGATTAAAAAACGTCTATCGTTTGTTGTTTCTATTTTTAGTTTTAATAATATGTTTAGGTTGAATTAGTTATTTGTTCATTATGATTTTCAACGACTGGTAGCGTTCAAGAAATATTTACATTTACCTCGATGAATAAGATCAAATGAATTTTCATATCAAACTAGTTATTAACTAAAAACTTGCTAATAATTGAAGAACATGTCTACAATTGAGACTACTCATCATATAATGTTTTAGATCTAAACAAGAGTTGGTTTACGGCTGTTAATGCTCATGACGACCACGATATACCATATACCATTAAAGTAAAAGCTTATAGTCATTTTATTATGTGCATTTAATTAATTTTCAAGAGCTTTCATTAGCTGTAGCATGAATGACATCATTAATTCACTAATTCATGAAGTAAACATTTGGATTTCGTTTTAAATTTTTCCAAAGTTCTTTCTTCACGTGATGTCGTTGAAGACTAACCTTTATATAACTAATACGTCACTTATTTGGGTTCCGGTAGATCGATTATTTGAAATTCATTTATTGCTACCTGTAAAATTGTAATGAATGTAAGCCTAGTAATTTTGAACAGATAAAGACTTTTAACTTATTCTTGAAATTTATTAACTCTAAACTAGTAAGAACTTACTTACTTACGACTGTTACTCCTTGTGGAGGAACAAAGGCCACCCACCTGCATTCTCCATCCAATCCTATCATGGGAAATCCTTTATAGCTCTTTCCAGTTGTTATTTATCCTTTTCATATCTGCTTCTATTTCTCGACGTAATATGTTCTTTGGCCTTCTTTTCCGCTTCCCTTCAGGATTCGAAGTTACGACTTGCCTCTTTTAGTAAGAAGCGTCACGGGATTATATATAACTTGAAGGTGTGCACAGCATAACTCAGGGATTTGAAATTACTAATTTTATTTCTTTTTTGTGTAATCGGATTCTAACAACAATGAAGTAGGTTTTGATGTTATCTTATTAACAAGGGTTTTTAATTTCATGCCATTTTGTAAAAATGAAGTATATAATTACATTGTATTAACTAGTGAGTGGGTTTGAGACGAATTCACGTATTCTCTTGTGAAAAGCCATAACCTGTAGTATCAGTACTGTTGTGAGGGCAAACGTTTTTTGTTAATATCTGTTAATGTCTCTGGCATTATCTCGAGCTTACTGAGTTTATTTTTATTATTAGCCTTATTTAATATTATATTTTTGATACATTATATAATTATCAGCTCAAAGTATTTCAGCAAGTTTCCGTTTCTTATTTCTTGATCAAACCTGACGATAAATACTGAATGATTGCCAATTAGATATAAGCATTTCGGAAGTCGACATCTGAATAATATTAATTCTTATCAGTGCACATCGCCAGGCATCACGATGTCTACGGTTACAAATTTTTGTAACTTGTACAGCGAAAGGTCGTAAACGTTTCTGTTATAACTTGCGGCCTGAGTGCCATGGTAATGTGTAACGTAGTAATACCGCCAGTTGGAAAGCAGTGAATTATCAAAAAGAACAATGACGCGTCAAACCCGTGAGAGCAGTCTAGAGTCCTGATTGGTCCTGTTTTCCACATAGCCTATCCAGTTAAGTCGAAAACACCAATCTCAGCCTCTCCAATATGAAGCATTTATTTCAAGCATACTGGGTTTATATACCAACCAAACAGACCACATTGTACCATAAAATATAGAACAACATTTGTACAAAATTAGCCAAATGTGGCTCTGAATGAGGGAGGTAGTAATTAATAGACAAGGCATAATTCGAGAATGGTAAGTCGTATAATAATAGTTCATAGGTCAAAATAAAGTTCATAATAAGAGGGATATGAATATGAATAGTTTAGTTAATTAACAATTATATTATAAAAATATGCTCATATTATTGGTCTACAAACGGACCCCAAAAGTTACCATTCATTATGCTTATCGGGACCTACGAGTTTCACAAACGCATCTGAATAGGTAATACAATTATTTGACATAATGATCTGTTAAAACAAACAAGGAAACAGATAACTTATTGAATTATCTAGATGGCAGGAACAGGTAACCCAGATATTCAAACAGGTCGCCGAGTGTGTATGACTGAATAATAATTTATTAACCTAGAGATATTGCACAAATCATGATAACTAACATGTTTATCACTGAGTAGTCTTAATGTATGATAAATGAACGGTTTAGTGCCCAGAAAATTTTAAATTATCATCAGCGAAAATCAGCGTGCGAGTAAAACTACCTTTAGAATTGCTTTGATTGATCAAAAGACGTTATTAATGCTTTCTGGATCGACGAAAATGTTATTAGGGTTTTATGGGTAAGGTATCACCTTCAATGTAGTTATAAAATTTGAAATCGGCTGGTCAAGATTCTAACTGATTGTTAGTTATCTAATTAGCACTTACGTTTGAAATGTTCGTTGGTAGAACGCCAGACGTTTTGTAATTCATCACAGAGCGGAGTCTAACAGTCATGAATTTATACTATATATTCATTTGTCCTCATCTAGTCTTCTTCTATTCTGATTCTATACTGAACGCTACTTAACGTACAAAACCGTAATGATCAACTTGGTGTTTTTGAAGAGTAACAAACATATAATTTTTGAATAATTCAGCCAATGGTTCCACAGTATATAAGCAGTGATAAGATAACGTCAAGAATCAGTAATCATCTTTACACTCAAGTTTTATAATTTAGTAATATGCATTACGAAATCACGTTCGTAGAAAATAAACACTTTAAATTGTATACACAATATATGTTATGACTTTACTGGTGATTTATAAATGAATAGTATGCCGAAAAATATTTCTGATGTGATTTTAAGTTTTCTATATTAGCAAAGGTAAGTAAGATATATTAAACATAAGTACACATTTATGAACTAATACTTATTATATGAACGCCAGTAAACAATCTAGTAGGATTCCTTATTGAATATTATCAGTACATTATCAACTGACACTCACAAAAACTTTCAACCAATATCAAAGTCACAATCCTCAATACAAACGTTAAGATAGTTCTACTGTATGGAGCTGAAACTTCAAGAACTACTACAAATATCATCAAGAAAGTACAAGTATTCATAAACAGTTGTCTACGCAAAATACTCAATATGCATTGACTGGATATCATGAGCAACAGCGTACTGTGAGAGAGAACAATTCAACTTGAAGCTGAAGAGGAAATTAGGAAAGGACGATGGAAATAGATAGGATATACATTGTGGGAATCACGAGACTGCATCACGAGGAAATCGCTAACTTGTAATCCTGAACGGTAGCAGAAAAGTGGGATGCCAAATAACACATTGCGTCAAGAAATAGAGGTCGATATGAAAGGGATGAATAATGAGTGGAAAGAGCTGGGAAGGATTTCCCATGACAGTGTTAGATGGAGAGTGCTAGTTGGAGGCGTATGCTTTTTCACAAGGAGTAACAGTCGTAAGTAAGTAAGTACGAAAGTAAGCAAGTAAGTCAATTGACAACAACATACAAAAGATTGAAATATTGAATACATTTCAATATAAACTCCAGATAATTTTAAATTTAAATATTTCTAATGTAACAACCAATCAAAATCATCTGTGCTTGTAATTTAAAATAGAAATAATTTTTATTAAATCAATAAATAAATTTGTTAAGTATGAAAAAAATTTTTTTTCACAAATTATATTTTTGTTCATTTATGATTGGTTATTTTGTCTGATCCAATCATATTATTTAAAATGACTAAAAATTTATCAAAAAATTTTAAATATTAAAAAAATTGATTTAAAGAGACGAAAGTGATTTTACTTAAAGGAAATTTTATGTAATATGGATAAGTATTATTGTAATAATAATAATAGTAATAATAATAATGTAATGCCGTATTTCATGAAAAACATGAAATTTCAATAATAAATTTATTGATAACATTATTACAATTATTATTAAATGGACATGTGGTTTTGGAATAATGCAATATGTGGATTTTGTACTCCTGTTCCAAATGTATTTATTGGCGTAAGTAAAAATTATATTGATCTTATTAAAATCTTATCTAAAGGTTAACCTTCATACGAGAATTTCTGAAATTGTTAAATTATTCTTACCAGTAATTGATGTTTGAACCAGTTTGTTTGTCTTATCATCATCATCATCATCATCATCATCATCATCATCATCATCATCATCATCATCATCATCATCATCATCATCATCATCAACAACAACAACAACAACAACAACAACAGAAAAACGAACCAAAATAGAACTATTTGAAATGAATTTAACATTTGATGGGTATTTGATTGTAGATAATATATTCAGTTGACAGTAATATTATCAATATTCTATAGATTAGAAAAATGAACCCAATATAAGCATTTACTAAATTAATTTATATACACATAGTTACTGATCATTTGAAATTATATTTAATTGTTTATAGTTTGTTAGTAATCGATAATTCTATTGAAGAGTTATACTTGTTGTTAGTCAACAAAATGATCTTTTAGCTTATTTCTATAAATTAAATTACTAGGCAAGTTTTTATTTGCAAATTATATGGTCATATTAACTAAATATTTATTGTATTTAAAGTTATATTTTAGGAACAACATGTTGAATCTTACACTTTATTTATTACAAGAAAATGAAAATGACAATAGTTGAAATCATGAGTCAAATAAAGCTAGACCAGTATGGAAAACTTGGAAGCATTGGATGACTGTTTTGTTCCAGTATTAAACTCCTCAGCAGTGCGTATCCACGATCTCGCCTTGCGAGACTCAAACCCGGGACCTACTAGTCTCTTAACGATTAGACCACTAATCCAGCATACGACAGAGTTAATGTCTAACTTCGACAAATCTGCTAGACTGATAAGTCTTATGTTCGAGTTTCGCGGGGGCTGGGTCGTGGGTGCGCACTACTGAGGAGTCTCATACTAGGACGAAACGGCTGTTCAGTGCTTGCATGATTTTTATGGTGATCTAGCTTCAATTGACTCATGATTTCAAGTATTGAAATTACTTAGATCTTCACAAAACTCCTGAAAATGAAAATGTAATAAAGAAATGTAAATTATACATTGAGAAATTAATATCATAGAAAAATAAGCAATTACATTTGTTTCGAGGTATTTTACGAATGATTGATGCTGTCTGACATACTATCTATTTAAATAAGAAGCTATTAGGAATATTTAGTCTCTCATTGGAACATAACTGTATGTTACATACTATGAGGTTGAAATGTAGAAAATAAACACACTGAAAATGGGTTAAAACTAGTTTTTATATTCAAATTTAAAAACCTATCGGTAATTGATCAACTCTGCTAGTGAGTATCTTAATTTAGTGTTTACGATTACCAATCATAAATTCTTTGAATCAGTTTATATAAGAGATAATATGTTAAACGTTTGATATAGCATTTTGTCTCTGTATTCATACAACCACATCAAAGTAGAAAATGATCGTTTAATAATTAACCTTCGTTTAATTAATGTATATAACATAAGATTATTGGTATAAATTTCAACCATTATAATTCTTGATAACAAAAGCTAAATAACATTTGACATAAAATTTATTTAATATATTCGTTAAAGATTCATCAACATTTAAGATATATTTTCAAGTGTACATGTTCATTAATTTTTTTTCCATATAGTATTTTGTCATCTAAGCATATAGAAATTATCAAACAATTACTTACTTACTTACGACTGTTACTCCTTGTGAAAAAGCATACGCCTCCAACTAGCACTCTCCATCTAACACTGTCATGGGAAATCCTTCCCAGCTCTTTCCACTCATTATTCATCCCTTTCATATCGACCTCTATTTCTTGACGCAATGTGTTATTTGGCATCCCACTTTTCTGCTACCGTTCAGGATTACAAGTTAGCGATTTCCTCGTGATGCAGTCTCGTGATTCCCACAATGTATATCCTATCTATTTCCATCGTCCTTTCCTAATTTCCTCTTCAGCTTCAAGTTGAATTGTTCTCTCTCACAGTACGCTGTTGCTCATGATATCCAGTCAATGCATATTGAGTATTTTGCGTAGACAACTGTTTATGAATACTTGTACTTTCTTGATGATATTTGTAGTAGTTCTTGAAGTTTCAGCTCCATACAGTAGAACTATCTTAACGTTTGTATTGAGGATTGTAACTTTGTATTGGTTGATAAACATTTTTTTGAGTTCCATATATTCTTTAATTGTCAAACATTAGTGATGTATTAAACTGTTAATTTTTGATCACTTAGTAATAATTATAGGCGTATATAAACTAACTAGATTTTATCGAATGAAATAACTTTAATTATTTTAAAAAGCTTTTAGTTATTTACTTAATCTATTATATTCTAGTCAAAGGAAAGACAATATACAAATTCGTCATTTAATTTTCTTCGTAAAATACATCGTTCGATACATTCAGTACTATTGTAAATAGAATGAATAAGAATAAGAAGTTGACATTTTTAATTGATTGTGAATTGTTTATTATTACTTAGGTAATTGAGTGTTGTAATGATTCTGTGATAATTCATTCAATTTTTATGGAATATTAATTACTATAAGAACTTAGTATACTGCTACATAGTTATAGCCTGATATTTACCATATATAAATCATTGAATTCCTTAGTGACTGGTCAAATGTAACTATGAGGATAGAAGAATCGAAGAATTGATTCAAATATATTGCTATTTGATCAATGAAAATGATTAGATAGTTCATTATTATATTTTTCAATATTTAGTTTATATTTTTAGCTAAATACACAGGAATAATATATGTAATTCACTCGTTATTGACTAATAACATAATGGATGTATCGCTCAATTTCGTGAATTGGATGCGAGCTCAGTGATCTAGTGGTTAGGCGATCGCGCGCGAGACTGATAGGCCCTGGGTTCTAATCTCGCGAGGCGGGATCGTGGATATGCACTGCTGAGAGTTCCCATACTGGAACGAAACGGCTGTCCAGTGCTTAAAAGTTTTCTATAGTGGTCTAGCTTCAATTGACTCATGATCTTAACTATTGAAATAACATTATTATAAGAAGTTTATTATTATTATTAGCTTTATTTAACATTATATTTTTGGCATACTATATAATTCTCAACACAATATTTCAGCGAGTTTCCGTTTCTTTTTTTGATCGATTTTGATGATAAATATTGAGTGATTGCCAGTTACATATTAGCATTTCAAAACTCGACATCTAAATAATATTGCTATCTATCATGATGTCTATGATTGTACGTTTTTGTAAATTGTACAGCGAAGGGTCGTAAATATTTTACAAACACACTTGAATAGATTATAGAATTAATTGATATGGTGATCTGTTAAAATAAACAAGGAAACTGATAACTTGTTAAAATATCTCTATAACAGGAATATGTAGCCCAGTCAAATAAATGAAATTATATATATATATATATATATATATATATATATATATATATATACATAGAAAGCTTATTGCTGACAATCTAAAGTAAAAGAAACGATTTTACATTTGATTCAAAGTTTATTTTTTCCCCTAATTAGTTGTTATTTAATGTTGCTCATTTATTGAATTCCAGTGTATCAATTAATATCTTCATTTAAATATGATTAATGAACTTAGTCCATTATTATTTATTTAAATATCTTCTATATGGTATACAAGAGTAACTTTTTGTATCTAAACCTTTTCCAGGTTATAAACGTTAATTCATTAGAATGCTTGAAACGAATTATGTATACGAAATCATATTTGGTAGATCTTATCTTTTTAAAAAAAAAATTGATTAGAAACATGTTTATCTAATTAATTATTCTATGAATAATGATATATCACTTCATTTAACTTTAAATACATAGAAAAAAATACAGATTTCATTTTGTTTCAATGAGTTTTATTTAATATCACCATCGACTTACTTTATTATATTCGAATGGAATTTATTTCTTTGAGCTGAATGATTTGGTCGTGGAACTTTCATTGTTCTTCTGAATGACATTATCAGTACAAACTTCAGGTAGCTACAAAACTTTCACATTTGTCAATCAATAAGATTTGATCATTTCGAAGTCAAAAATTCCCGATGTTGGAATGTTTCAATAATTAATCAATAATTTGTATACAAAAAAATGTATAGGTATCACATATCTATTAGTTTTACATCAACTACAATTGAGTATTATAATCGATGACTAATAAATTATTTTTCATTTATAGATTTATATATTTTAATATATGAATTAATTGCACGAAATATACAAACTAATTTAGATAGATATAAATAACTGATGTATCTTTCTCGTTTTATCACAACCCTGCAGTAAGTTGGTTACTGTCAGTCAAATAAATGTGGAATCATTAAAAAAACGGAATATATTTAGCGTTGTTTAATTAACTTTTATTCTCAACTTTTTATTTGTTTATTTGTGTAAATAAATAATAACAAAAATAATCTTGTAGTTAAAATCCTTATTATATAAATAGTGATCAAGAAAAATATTAACATTAATAGTTTTTATGACTTCGAACACAATTAGATACTTACTACTTGTTACAACGGACCATACTGAAAAGTGGTACATGGAGGACAACTGACAGATTCATTTCAAGTGAAGATCAGTGTCAAACAAAACTGCTTAATCTCTCTCTTTCTTCTGATAGTTGACTGGATTATGAAGACTTTCATATCTCAGGGAAGGCACGGTATACAATGGACAGCTTGCATGCGATTTGAGGATATGGACTTCTCAGATGATCTAGCTCTTCTATCCCATACACACCAACGAACCAGTATATCAACA